TTGCTTTTAATATGCTGCTATTTGAGTAGGGAGAAACAAGAGAACACTAGACTTCAGGGGTCTGCCTGTTTCTCTTCTGCCTTTCCACGGAGCTTAGTAGATCTTTTGCCATTTGTTATTGTAAAGTGCAAGATGAGTACAGAGAAGAACTAGGGTAACGCTTCTGGAATAGAACTAGTTTTAAATGAAATAATGAGGAAGTGACCTTTGTAACTAAATGTTCATTGACGTGCAGTGAGCTGTAAACCCAGGATTGGAAATGGGAGATCAAACTAAGGGAAGATCTCTGGGTGCTTTGCCCTCAATTCTTGGAGACGAGCCATTTTTTGTAAACTAGAGAATTTAGATTTAGGTTTTGTTGTGTTAATGTCCCCTCTCTTATTTTGCTACCACTCAATCAAGTTATGCTTGAGCAGTCCAGGTATGATCTGGGCTATGACACGTATCCTGGGCCCAGTTTAATAGGGACCAACAGCATCCTCTGGAAACCAACACGATGACAGGTATAATTAGGGAGAGATCCTAAGAGGAAGATGAATCTGATGATGGAGGCATCCAAAATTTGGAGGCTAAATTGTTTAGGGATCCCTTCCAATAGAGCAGTGTTTCCCAAAGTGTGGTACACGTACCCCCAGGGGTACGGGAAGAGTTTGGTGGGGGTACGCATTGCACCAGAGTTTGGTAGGGATATGCACTGCACCTTGCTTAGCTGCGCCTAATTCTACATTCTCATGAGTATGAGGGGTACTCAGCATTACGAAAATTACAGAAGGGGTACACATATGTCAAAAGTTTGGGAAACACTGCAATAGAGGATCTGCAAGAGCCAATCTTGAATATTATTATTATTTCAATTTTATTTTTATTCTAAAAGGTAGCTTATCTTTTACGAAGTATACTCAAGCCCAAAAGAAATCTTTTGAAAATAGTTAAAGGAATGTAGAAAATTAAATCAAGTAGCACGCAAATAATATTTATTTTAAATATATTTCATTGATTTTTTTTACAGAGAAGGGAAGAGGGAGAGGGATAGAGAGTTAGAAACATCGATGAGAGAAACATTGATCAGCTGCCTCCTGTACACCACCTAGTTTGGATGTGCCAGCATCCAAGGTACATGCCCTTGACCAGAATTGAACCTGGGACCCTTCAGTCCCGCAGGCTGATGCTCTATCCACTGAGCCAAACCAGCCAGGGCAATAATAATATTGTTATAGGTTTTAAGATCTAGCACCAATTAAAAGTATGAGTAAAAGAAGAATGGATTTATTGTTTCTCTCAAGTGTCATGCACCTGGGTATTTCTATAATAGGCTCAATCATTCATCCATTCTTTCACTGGACATTTACTGAGTAACAGGCTATGAAGTCCTAGGTATTATAGGCAGCGAGTGGAACACTGCTGTTATCTATGTCAGTTTTTAATAATTTCAGAATTTCTTTGTATAAGCAAGGGTAAGTGTGTGTGGCACAAATACTTCAGTGCAAATGAGTGAGCTACCTCTCAGGACCTTATCTATGCTCTGCCAGAGTATATGTGCATTCCTAGAAACCTCATTTGAGAGGGCAGAAGGTGGCTGATACCACCCACATTCTTTTCCTACTGTTCTATCCTGTCTAAAGTTTAGTAATTTTAATAACTATCCTATATAATAAAAGCTTAATATGCTAAGTGTCCAGCCATCCAGTTGGCCGTTCAACCAGTCAAAGCGTAATATGCTAAGGCTGCTCAACTGCTCAGTGTGACATGCAGTGACCACTAGGGGCAGACAGTTAACCAGTTGACCAGTCGCTATGATGTGCATTGACCACCAGGGGGCAGGTGCTCCAACCTGTAGGTTAGCTTGCTGCTGGGGTCTGGCTGATTGAGACTGAGCAAGATGGGTTGGACAAGCCCTGGAGTCCTTCCACAGATCCTCCCTGGCTGGCCAGCCTCCTGCATACCTTCCGACCCTGATCCTGCACCAGTGGTGTCGCTTGGCCTGGCCTACACCCTCTCGCAATCTGGGACCCCTGTGGGGATTAGGAAAGCTAGTTTTGGCCTGATGACAGAACAACCGGTTGTTATGGTGTGCACTGACCACCAGGGGGCAGACGCTCAACTCAGGAGCTACCTCCCTGGTGGTCTGTGTGCTCCCACAGGGGGAATGCCACTCAGCCAGAAGCTGGGCTCATGGCTGGGGAGTACAGTGGTGGTGACAGCAGCATTAAGGATATCTGACTGAGGGCTAAGGCCCACTTCCCTTGGTTTAGGCCCTAATTGGGGAGAGGGCCTTAGCCATCAGTGGGACATACCCTGAGGGCTCCCAGACTGTGAGAGGGAGCAGGCTGGGCTGAGGCATCTCCACTCCCCCACACCCGAGTGCACGAATTTAAATACCAGGCAATTACAGCATATGGTGTTTTGGTCCCAATAAACCTTGTAAATAACCAAAATACAAAGGATATTTGTCTTTGTGGCAGGCCTACCTGATATGGGATCAGAGATGGAGGCCAGTACCACAAGGAACTATTTGAATATGTACTATGGTAGATTGTTGGAAGCACAATTTGGAACACTAAGAGAAGGAAAATGTGTGCTTGACACAACTTTGCTTTGCAAAACAATCTTTTGCTATGGGAGAATCTATGGCATTCAAGCTGAGAGGAAGAATTTCACAAGTTAAATATTTGTCTTTTTTTTTTTTTTTTTTACCTAAGCAAATTCTGCCTGAACTCCACAGCAGTTTATCTCTGAAATGGGCAGCTCTAACACCTACAAATTTTCAGTGCAGTTGGAGTCCACTTTTTGATTTGAAGACACAAGGCAAGAGATAGGAAGTTTTTCCCTGGGGCCAAATTAATTTGGTTAGGGGAGAGGGTGTTTATGGTTGTAGGCTGGTGTTCAACATTAGACCAGGAGTGGCAGAGGCACCCATATGTTTTTGTTTTTTTAAAAATAAATATGTGCATTTGTGATAATGTAAGGTTCTTGAAAGCCTGGGTCCAGAATTAAGTGCTTAGTGATAGAGGGGATTTAATGCCAACCTCATTTGCATGGAGATCTAGATGGCTGTGTTTTTTCTGGAATTTCTTCAGCATCCTGAAAGATAGGGCCAGACTAATGGCTTAGAGAATTATAACATATTTCTAAGCTTGACTTCCCCCAACACTAGGTGTTGACAATATTATGAAGTCTCTCTAAAGGAAGGAAATAGCAAATACATACAAAAAGAGAACAGTATAGTGACCATCATACTTCCATTACCTAGCTCCAACAATGGATAACTCATGGTCAATCATATTTCATCTCTACTCCTATTCATCCTCCCTCCCTCCATGTTTTTTTTTTTTTAATGTTTTTAAGCAAATTCTAGATGTCTTATATCATTATATCCTATATGTTTCTAAAAGATATTCTTTTAAAAATTATTGATTTTAGAGAGAGAGGAATAGAAATGTCGATTTGTTGTTCCACTTAGTTATGCGTTTATAGGTTGATTCTTGCATGTGCCCTGATGAGATGGAATCCACAACGTTGGTGTATCTGGATGGCCTTCTAAGCAGCTGAACTACCTGGCCAGGCTAAAAGATATTCTTAAAAATAAATAGGCCCTGGCTGGGTAGATCAGTTGGTTAGAACATCCTCTGGTTATGCCAAGTTTGCCCATTCCCTCCCTGGTCAGGGCACACCAAGAATCAACCAATGAAATGCATACATAAGGGGAACAACAAATTGATGTTTCTCTCTCAAATTAATAAGAAAATTACATATATAAAAGATACAGTATCATTTTCCAATTACTCCCAATTCAACAAACACTTTATAGTTTCATCCATGTTAGAGGCACCACGCGGTTTTTATTTTTACGGATGAAAATAATTTCCAATGAAGAAACAGTGCTGTGTGTTCATTTTGTTTGAAGTCACAAGATCTGAGGAGGTGTGACGCGCTTTTATGATTGAAGCTACACTCAATCTGTTGGTGGGGCTTGGCTTTAAGAGCTGCTGCTGGCCTGGTGGTAGTGAATTAAAGACCTTTCTACAAAGGCTTAATTCTCACCCCGCTCCCCCCTCCCAGCCTCCCTTAACCTTTGGAAGCAAGGCGTGGGAAGGGGATTTAGTGTTTCTGCTATGCCGAGGCATGTTCGAACTTGTTTCTTTTTCCGAAATGGACAAGTTGCTAAGAGAGCCATGGACTTATACGAACAAGTCCTGGGAGAGATTTTTTGTTGTTGATGTAAAGCTGCCTGGGCCAGGGCAATGCGTTGCTTTCGGGTTTGCTCCTGCTGCCGGCCGCCCCGGCGGGCCAGCGGCTAGAGGTCGTGGACTCGGCGCCTGGGTCTCACTCCGCTCCCAGGGCTCTGGGCCGCCTCTGGGCGTTTCCTCCTTTTCCGGCCACGGAAAGTTTTGTTTTGCTTCTTGGTTCCCGGTCGAGGAAAGGCACCCTGTTGGCCAAAGGTTCCTCAGAGGCCCCTCCAGGTGGCTAAGGGCCAAGTCTCTCCCCCATTCCAGCTGGCTCAGCCTCGGCATCCACCGGCCCCCCCCCCCCCCCCCGGGGTCCTCAAAGGCGGGGGACGCGAGCCTTTTGGGGGAAGAAAGAGAGCGGGCGGCCAGGCTGCCGGCTCTCCTGCCGCCGCCGGCCCCTCTCTCGGTTCAATCGCTGGGCCAGCACCCACCGCACCGCCAAGGGTGCGGGCAGCTCCGCCGGCGACTCCTCCGAGGCCGGTTCTCCACTCCCAAGAGAATCCTCCGGCGAGCCCCGCCCGCGCCGGGATGGAAGCCGGGACGAAAACCCGGGAATGGGACGCGGGGCGCATGCGCGCGCGGGCGGCGGCCCGGAGGTCGCCCCGCGGCGGCGGCGGCGGCCGCTAGGTGGCGCATGCGCCCTGGAGGGTGCGGGCCGGGCTCTGGGAAGAAGGCGGCGGCGCTGAAAGGCGGGGGCGCCGTGGGGGCCGGGCCCGTGTTTACACAGCGGCGGGCGGGCGCGGACGCAGAACCCGGCGCGGCGGCTGCGGCACGATGGTCATGGCGCATTTCGTCGAGAATTTTTGGGTAAGAAAAAGGATGCTGGGAATTGCGTGGGTTCCGGAGTCCAAGGCTGTCTGCGCCCGACCTCGGCGCGCTGCGGGCCGTGGCGGCGGCGGCGGCGACGGCTCCGCGGGCAGGGCGAGTCCTCGGACCGCCGCCCGCTGGGTCCCGCCTGGAGGAAGCCCGGCGGGCGACGAGTCGGCGGCGGCTGCCCCGACTCGCGGGCTCGCAGCCCTGGCGGGGGCGGGGGGCTGTCAGCGCGGCCGCTCCGCTGGGGCAGGGACGCCGACGAGCCGCCCGCCGCCCGCCGCCCGCGCCGGGACAAAGCGCCGGATGAGGCGGGAGCCGGGAGCCGGCCGCACCGGAGGCTCCGGCGCCGGGCGTGCTCGCGGCGGGAGGAGGCGCGCGGCGGGCCCGCGGCGCGGCCGCTCCCAGCTGCGCGCGGAGGGCGAGCGCGGGCCGCGGCCGGGTGCGGGGCGCGCGCCGCCTCCCGCACCGCAGGCCCCCGGAGCCCTCCGGCCGCCACCATTTCCACCCGGAGCCCCGTGCGGGCCGGGCCGGCGCAGCGCTCCCTCCGGGCTCCGCGGCGGGGCTCGTTGGGCTGCGGCGCCCAGGACTTTGCCTCTGGGCCTGTTCACAAAAGCGTAGGAAAGTTGAATGTAATGTTATTCGATTCCTGGGGCTTACACTACACCCGAGACTTCCCCTTGTTCCCTGGGCTCCTTCCCCTTTCCTGGTTCTCCCCACACCCCTTCCTTTCGCTCGGCGTTAGGATCAGGTTCTTACAGGAGAAGGGCTCCCGCTCCCCGCGCGGTGTGTGCGCTGCGGGTATTGTTTCCTGGGAAGCGCAGGTCAGCCATGGACAGGACAGGAACATGTTTACGCCGGGATCGTGGGTGAATCTCGTCGTATGGCTTTGACAGTTGTGCAAGCCCTGCAATTCCATTTTAAGATTTAGAAATATTTAAAGGAGCAATCTTTCAGCGAATAAGGGTTGCGCCTTAAAAATACTTAGCTAGTATTTCTAAGCGTCTCAGGGATGAACTTGCTTTAGTAATCAAGTCAGTTCATAGTTGTTTTGTAGGTACCTTGTTTTCCACAGCAACATAAATACTACACATAAGGTGTTTCTCCCCCCCCCCCCAAAAAAAAAAAAACGTACCATACAATACACCCATTCAACTGTACAATTCAAGGATTTTGTTGTTGTTATGTTTATAGAGTTGTGCAGACATCACCACAGTCAATTTTTGAACTATTTTATTAGGTCAGAAAGAATCCCTGTGTTATTAGCAGTCACTGCGCATTTTCCTCATACCTCAGTAACTAATCTAAATATTTGTGACTCTGCAGATTTGTCTATCCTGGACATATTATATAAGTGGGGTCATATAAGTGGTCCTTGTGACTGGCTTCTTTTACTTAGCTTGTTTCCAGATTCATCCATGATGTAGCGTGCAGGTGTCAATACTTGATTCCATTATATGACTAAGTATTCCATTGCATATATATATAATTTATTTTTTCCATTACCAGTGATGGACATTTGGTTGTTTCTACTTTTTGACTATTATGAATAATGCTGATAATAGACACTTTGGTACATGTTTTTGTGTGCACATATATTTTCATTTCTTTTGGAAATGGAATTGCTGGTTCACATGCTAATTCTCTGTTTATTATTTCAAGGAGCCACCAAACTTTTCCAGGGTGGCAGCTCTGTTTTACAATTACACTATCAATGTCAGGGTTCCAATTTTTCCACATGCTGGACAATACTTGTTATCTGTTCTTTTCATTACAGTGGATGGATGTGAAGTAGTATCTCATTGTGGTTTTGATTTGCGTTTCTCTGGTGGCTAATGATGTTGAACATCTTTTCATGTGGTTTTTGCCCATTTTCCTTTGGCAAAATGGTTAGATTCATTGCCCATTTCTAGATTGGTTTGTCTTTTTATTGAGTTGTAAGAGTTTTTATTTTTTAAAAATATATACATTTTATTGATTTTTTTTTTTTTTTTTTACAGAGAGGAAAGGAGAGAGAAACATCAATGAGAGAGAAACATTCATCAGCTGCCTCCTGCACACCTCCCACTGCAGAGGTGCCCAAAACCAAGGTACATGCCCCTGACTGAAATTGAATCTGGGACCCTTTAGTCCGAAGGCTGATGCTCTACTGAGCCAAACCAGTCAGGGCAAGAATCTTTTTTATATTCTGGGTGCATGTCTCCTATTAGATATGAGTTTGTAAATAGTTTCTCCTATTCTGTGGGTTGTCTTTTTCATTTTATTGATTGGTGTACTTTGAAGCACAGATGTTTTTAATTTTGATGGTCTTGAAATCCTAATTTTCTATTATCAGTTACGCTTTTAAAAAAATATTTTTATTGATTTCAGAGAGGGAGAGGGATAGAGAGAGAGAAACATCAATGATGAGAGAGAATCATTGATTGGCTGCCTCCCACACGCTCTCTACTGGGGATCAAGCCTGCAACCCAGGCATGTGCCCTTGACCAGAATCAAACCTGGGACCTTCAGTCCCCAGGCCAAAGCTCTATTCTCTGAGCCAAACTGGCCAGGGCCAATTATGCTTTTGTTGTTTAAGAAGTCTTTCCTAGACCAAGGTCACAAAGATTTGGGGGTAGGGGGCTTTTAATATCATAAGATTTTATTTCAGCCAAACTGGCAACATATGCTGTGGAGCAAGATCTCAAATACTCTAAGGTCACAGAGATTTAATTTTATTCTCCTGTGGGTTTTTATAGCTTTTGCTCTTATGTTTAGTCTATGATCCATTTGAAGTTAATTTGTGTGTGTGTGTGTGGGGGGGGGGAGGGTAGGAGGAGGAAGTCCAATTTCATTCTTTGCATATGAGTATCTAGTTGACTTAGCACTATTTGTTGAAAAGCATCTTCTTTTGCCCTAACTGGTTTGGCTCAGTGGCTAGACCGTTGGCCTGAGGACTGAAGCGTCCCGGGGTTCAATTCCGATCTCCATCCCCAGTAGGGGGCGTGCAGGAGACAGCTGATCAATGATTCTCTTTCATCATTGGTGTTTCTCTCTCCCCCCACCCCTTCTTTTCTCCTTCCTTCCCTCCTCTCCCTCCCTTGCTCTCTGAAATCAATACAAATATATTTAAAAAAAGAAAAGCATCTTCTTTTTTCATTGAATAGTCTTGTCATCCTTGTTGAAAATTTTTGAGCATACCGTATGGGTTTGTTTATCTCTGGATTTTTAGTTGTATTTCATTGTCTTATGTTAATGCCACGTTGTTTTGATTACTATAGCTCTGTAGTAAGTTTGGAATCAATCAGGAGTATGAGTCCTCCAACTTAGTTCTTGTTCAGGATTATTTTGGCTACTCTGGATCCCTTGCACTTCTGTATGAATTTTTGATTTAGCCTAACAGTTTTAGAATTTAGGTTTTACAGTGGCAATTAGTAATCATTTAAATTGACATTCTTGAAATATTTTGCACATTTTTGATGCATTAATGTGTTTTGGAAGTTGAACTTAATTACAAATTGTACACTGGCATTTTGAAGTTATCTTTTGTTTCCTGTTAACTGAGATTTGTTTGATGTTCTTGGCTGTTATGAATAACTAGAGGTCCTGTGCACGAAAGTTGTGCATGGGGGTGGGATGTCCCTCAGCCCAACCTGCACCGTCTCCAATCTGGGATCCCTCTCACAATCCAGGACTGCTGGCTCCCAACTGCTTGCCTTCCTGCCTGCCTGATTGCCCCTAACCGCTTCTGTCTGCCAGCCTTATCACCCCCTAAACACTTCCATGCCAGCCTGATTGGTGTCTAACCTGCTCCCCTGCCAGCCTGTTTGTCCCCAACTTCCCTCCTCTGCTGGCCTGGTCACCCCTAACTGCCCTCCCCTGCAGGGTTGATCACCCCCAACTGCCGTGCTCTGCTTGCCTGATCTCCCACAACTTCCCTCCCTTGCAGACCTGATCCCTCCCCACTGCCCTCCTCTTCTGCCCCCATGGGGGCAGCCATCTTGTGTGTTGGAGTGATGGTCAAACTGCATATTACTGTTTTAATAGATAGGATAGAAGCCTGGTACATGGGTGGGGGCCAGCTGGTTTGCTCTGAAGGGTGTCCCAGATCAGGGTGGGATGGCCTGGGCGAGGGGCTTGTGGTGGTTTGCAGGCTGGCCTCGCCCCCTGGCGACCCAAGCGGAGGCCCTGGTATCTGGAATTTATTTATCTTCTACAATTGAAACTTGGTAGCCTGGAGTGAAGGCCTGGACCGGTCAGGGCTGCAGAAGCTTGGCTTCCTCCGTCACCTGGGGAAACCCTAATCTCCTCTTCTTCCAGCTTTGTGGCTGCCATCATTCTGTTGAAATTTATTTACCTTCTATAATTGAAACTTTGTACCCCGCCTGAGTGTGTGGAAAGCTTGGCTTCCTCCATTGCCAGGGAAATCCAAGCCTTCCTCCTGCTCTCTGTGGTGGTAGCCATCTTGGTTGGGGTTAATTTGCATACTTGCTCTGATTGGCTAGTGGGTGTAGTGGAGTGATGGTTAATTTGCATATTACTCTTTTATTAGACAGGATACTTTAAAAATATTTTTGTGTAAGTTTGGTGTATGTACCCTTTTTGTTTCTCTTAATAGAGGAATAAATTTCACTATCTGAAATCTATAGCGAATCTCAAGTCTAATTTATGCTGCAATCTTTGCCATCATTTCACTATTGAGTACAAGTAGTTAAAATAGAGTGGATTATAATTTACTTTCAAGATTAGAATTGGGGCTGAAAAGCTCTAAATTAGAGCTTAAAAAGCTCCTAAGGAGGGTTAAATGAACTAAGAAAGTCTAGGAACTAAGTAACTTCTGATTATTTGATAGCTGTCTGTTTAAAACAACTTAAATATTTACATATTTTAGGAGCATTTATAAAATAATTTTCTAAAAACATTTTTTTACTGATGGGGGAGAGAAATGTAGATTTTTGTTCCACCTATTCATTCATTCATTGGTTGATTCTTGTGTGCGGCCTGACTGGGAATGGAAC